TTTGTGAAATGGTCCATAAACTAGTCCGTGTTTACAATGTCCAGGCCTTTAGACAACAATAATACGGACAAAACTCTCGATAAAAAATTGCGTTCTATAAAAAAGGAAATAAATAATATATATTTTATCTAATAATTGGGTATTAAGGTTTCTGAATTGAGTATTTAAAATTAAATACGTCTCAAATTGTGCTTAAACGTCACTTAAATAAGTTTCAGTTACTGATTTTATAGTTTTTTAATGAGCACTGTATAGCAGTTTGATAAAAAACTACGACTTTTTGCCTTGTGAAAAGTAAAAAACATAAGTTATTGTAAATAATCAGTAGAAATTACGCACTTTTTTCGATTCAGAAACCGGCCTATATTTTAAAAATGTCAAGTTGTCGGCGAAACAGAATAGACCTTATAGACTCAAGAAAAGAGTTTATCATAAAGAATTATTTTGTGAAGGATTGCCATCTAATATATAATGATTTGAACAAATTGAATTTACCCGTTTTGAGTCTTCTGTAGGTCTCTCAGTTGAGCAGATACGATAATCAACTCTGAATATCTTCATTTAATAATATAGACGTAGAAATAGAATCATATGTAGCAGAAGCGAGCAAATTTTGTTTATTTCTCTGGTGTAAAGCACAGTAATAGTAAAAGGAATTAAAGTAATGTCAATCGTGTTTGGTTTTAAATTAAAGACATTGGGGTGTCGCGTGTTGTGTCACAATGGCTTCTGTTCTGTTCTGAAATATTGGAAATTTCTCGCTACAGACATTTAGCAGCTGCACACACTTTAGTTAAATAACTCTACCCATCTGCTGTTTCACTGTCACATTTAAGTCACTGAACCAACGATGTTTGGTATTAATAACAGATACTGAAATAAATATATAAAAGTTTTATCCTGGAAATTATAGAAAGCGATAAAAAAGTGGTTGAAGTCTGTATGGAGAATTCATTTACTTACACTATTATATATTTTTATGAATATTGCCTTTATATTACGGTATCACCAGAAAGTCAGTAAAAATTTCTGTTCATGATTTAAAAGAAAAGGAGAACTGTGAAATCTCGAAGAAGAAAATCGTCTACTGGAAATACTGAACATTTATTAATTATTAGTATAATAAATTGAAACCAACGAATCAAAAAACCGTATTCAATGGCGTCCCATAATTTTCTTTGATCCCAAATTAAGGTTATTCAAACAAAAAGAAGGGATTCAAATAACGACCGTACTACAGAGGGATGAGAGAAATATAAAAGGAAAAACATTTGAAGTGTCATTACTAATAATAAAACGATCTTCAAACAGAATATATTTAAGCACTCGTAACTATACTGCATATAGTTATAGTCGTATAAAGATTATCAATCGCCCTTCACTATATAAATTCAAACCGACCAACTTTTATTCGTGTTTATTTTTGTTGATATAATATAAATCGAATGTTGGTATTCTATATCGATCTACTCGTCAGTCAAATTTTGAAAAAGTGGCGTCCAATAACTTGAGTGCGTTTCCGGTAAGTATGAATTGAAAATTCGTGATAGTAACATTGTTATTGTAAATACTGTACATCGGGTTATTATAAAATATCAATTTTATCGATTTTGAACTAAATGTGTAACAAAATAATTTTTAAAATTTATATACAAATTTATGTTATGGACAGTTATGTACATCTTCTATAGTGAACTCGGGACGTTGGGAAGTTGGAATATCCACAAAAATCAAGTTTAAAAACAAGATGCTCCTTAATTTTATTCATTTTGTGATCCTGCTCTCGTAACTCGTGAGTCGTAACGTAAGAATTGCAAAAGCGCAGCGTACATTTTAAATTAATGACATTATTAAGGCGTCTTGAAACCCGAGGACGCTGCTAAAAATCTATCCAAGACACTATAAAACAGCGCATGACTTGGAAAACAGGACATTTAACAGCTCTTAATTAGAGCTATGTTGCAACTGTTACTTTTGTATATAATTTTATTTCATAAATAATATTTTTTATTATGTTATAATTATATAATTTGACGACCACCGTTGCCGAGTGATTCGCACGCCGGTTTCAAGGTGTTGCCATCTCTGAGGACCCGGGTTGGATTCAAGGTCAATGTAGAAAATTAACTTTTCTATATCGTATCGGGTCTGGGTGTTGTAGTACCTTCGTTGTCCGAGATACTCCACATTACGGGGGCTTTAGTTTAGGCATCTTGGAATCTGAAGAATATTTATTTATTCATTAAATTAATGCCCGTTTTCACTAAACTTAAGAGTCGCTTAAATCTTCCGCTAAATATTAGTAATCGTCTAAAGCGAAAATGCATTTCACCGATGACCAGGAACCACCTAAAGACATTGAGCAAAGTCTAAATTTGTGACATGCGTTATGCAGCGCCTAGCATTTGCGTGATGGTCATAAAGTCACAAATGTTACAAGGGATAAAAGAAAAAATATTTATTTGGACTGAACCTAATCTACTTAGGCGATTCGTAAGATTAGACGTTTCCTTGTTAAGCTATGCCTTGTTCTAGTGAAATCGGGTGTTACTTTCCCAGTTGAATTCAATTTCCTAGTCGATTCCAAGAAAATATGATAGTATATACTTTTTGTCGACTAGTGTTCTGTTGCTTCACATAGAATTAGTCACGGAAATTGTATTTTTTCCTTGACTGCCAAAAAATACTTTCTTTTTACCATTCTTACTCGTATACATTTTATTGGTTTCGTCAGTATTTTTCACTCATACATTATGAGATATTACGGTGTTGGCGTAAAATCCGCATGGTGACGGGAGTTTTCAACAGGCACGAGCCGCATTCAGAATGAATCATTTTTCCTTTGCAAAATACTACAGTTAGGGTTGTCAAAAAATGAAACATTGGGAGATTGCTTAAAATTACTCAGATTTTTGTTGTAGATTAATACTTTAAATAATTAAGATTCTTATTGTTTAATATAAATGTTTATACTCTATTAATTTCTTCTAGTAAATAATCACTTGCCAGTCAATTGGTTTTTGGCACGTCGCTCGTATGCTATATAATGTTGCCTTAATTTTTCTATCTCAAATCGAATAGGCAGCTTTACTATGATCTAACTGTAGCATCACTGGTGGTGCAGTTAGAACATGTTAAGGCATATTAAGGCATCAAATTAAAATACAATTTCAGATACTATAACATATTTAAATATATACGAGACTATTTCCTTAGAGATATATATTATAAATCTTTTTAGTATCATTTGGCATAAAGCCTACTTTTCCCATCAAGATTATTGTTTATTTATCAAAAATCTTTGCATCATTAATTAAAGTTAAACTATGAATTTTCTAAGAATAATGTGTTCTGTGATAAAAAACGAATAAATTTTTACATTCTAAATATTAAGTTGTACGATGGACATCCTTAACCAGTGTTATAGTAGAACAGAGTACGTTGCGATGCGGCTCTAGACAATGCTACAATAGGAACCACCGAGCGATGTCGATGCAAATTCATCTTCAACTATACAATCCAACGAACGTGTCTGTAAAGACTATCAGCTCGAAACCTTTTTATTTTTATAAGTATACAAATATTTAGACGAATAAATGTCGTGCTATAACGAATAAATGTTAGACGAATAAATAGTTTAAAGATACATTTTATTATAAATTATACAAATACTCTAGTGAGCTGTTAAGGTTTTGCCTTGTGTACTAAAAAAAAGTATATTTTGTTTTGTTATAAAAAGAAAACCACTTATTTTATTTCGATATAAATGAGACCACCTTGGTCTATCAAGCTGTAAAATAAAAAAAAAAAGAATTTTGTAAATCGGTCAACAATTTACGGAAAAATCGGGAATGTACACAAAAAAATAACCTCCTTCTTTTCGATAAATGTAGTCTCAAAATCGTCGTCGACCGCAACGCGTTCACGTCATAGTACATCAATGAAACTATTGTGTTTAGAAGTAGGTTAAGAGAAAAGGTGGTCAGATACACTGGCTTTTTCTCAGCCCGCAAGAGGAGAGGGGAAGTGGGAATGGATCTGTCTGGCTCGTTAGTGAATCCCAGATCTTTTTCCCCCACCAAGGGTATTCCGCAGTGGGTTTTATCAGGTAGGCCAACCACGCTTTACCCTGTCCTTTTCATGGCAGAGTTAGAAAGCCCTAGTTTAAAGCGTATTTAGGTGTATTCTCTCTTCGTTATTAAAAACTGTTGAGGAGTTCAAGGTTATTTTTATGATAGAATAGCACTGCAGGTTTAAGATAAAGCGGATGCGGTGAAGAATCGATTTTAGAATTTTGCAATTAATTTCTTGTATATAAAATAGAGTAGATATTTATTTCATCATTCACATAACATACACAAAATAATATATACTTATACACAACTAGCTGTCCGCCAGCAGCTTTGCCCACGTTTATATCATGACACGGATATAATTTACAATGACAAATTGAATAGTAAACATTGGTTACTATGGTAACGTTTTAATTCCCTATACAAACTTTCACTCTTATTTTCATCCCTTTATTTGCTGTTTTTCAGAAGAAAACATATCATGTAGCTTAGATTATTTAAAATCGGTCCGGTAGTTTCGGAGTCTATCGCTGCAAACAAACAAACAAGCAATTATTTTCTCTTTATAATATTAGTATAGATATCATTACTTCCTGTGGTATATTATTTTGTGTACATTATTTCTAGACTATTGGGGATTACCAGCTAGACTCACAATGTACAAGGCTGAATTCTTTTACTAGCGAGAAGTGCACTAAATTCCGCACAATAAAGAATTTACGATCGCATCAATATTGTTAAGATATACGAGCTTTGATATTAAACTTAATAAGGTTTTACTTACTGGTGACCTACTCATGAAATCTATATAATATTATGTCGTTATGGCATTTCAACGAGGGAATTATTTATATGATAAAAACTTAAGAAAAATTAAATAATGAAAATTACAAGCAATGACTTTGACGAAGATTTCTTTGTCCACAGGTGTCAGTTAAAATCGAAGATGTCGTCAACGGTGCTTAAATAGTGTGCGTGTGTGCGATGGCGTCGGGCTGCGCGCGCTCGTAGCAGAGCATGGAAGAAGACGAGCGGCGGCTGTCGTTCCCGCCGCCGGCGCCGCTCAACTCACCCGGCGAAGAGATAGACGGCTCCCGGCTGCTGGGCGAGATCGTGCGGAAGCTAGAGGAGACCAATCCGGAGGCGGCCGCACCCCTCGTCGCTTCTCAGTCGCGCGAAACGCTCGACGTCGTCGCCAGTGAGAGGCCGCGTCGGGAAGAGCTCCGGATACCACTCGAGGGTGTTACGTTCGCTAGTGAGACCGCCGGCGGTAGGGATGAGCCGCGTGCCGCTGTCACGCCGTTCACCCGCGAGTCGGCCAGGCGTGCCGGGTCGCGGGGTGCCCAACTCGTCCGCGAGTTCGGCTTCATGCCGCGGCGGCGTCTTAGCGTGGAGGACGGTGCGCGGCTGCCGAGGAAGTACGAACCGTTCCCCCCTAAACTCTACGGACGCCCGCTCGAGGAGATCGACAACTTTATCTATGATGAGGTCAGTACATTGTATTTGTAAATGGCATTTTATTAAAGTCGCAGAAATCCTGTACCTGTAGCAATCAAAGCATAATCAATACATCAATAACTTCGTTATAATTAGGAACTTATTACAAAATTAAGTTACTACATTGTAACCATGTTTACTTGAATTAAATATCTTGGGTTATGCTTTATGATGGTGTAGTTTGGTTGTTGAAAATTATTTAGACGACATCAGTTTCGCGCCGTGATTTTCTGGCTGTCCACTGCATCTTCCGTATTATTTTATTTCACTATGGATGTGGGTAATTCAAAGAAGTAGCAGCGAGTTACCACAAAAACTGGGCCTGCTTCTTATAGTAACAATATGTCCATAGAAAGGCCAAATTAATCTGGTGGAGGTGACCATTTGATGGTCAGTAACAAGTGGTATACGAAACGATGTTGTAAAATATAACGACTGGCATATAAATGGAAAGCTGGTGGCTACGTTGGCTTTATTACCCATCGCAGGGTCCACAACGGTAGCTGTTTAAATTCTAATTACAAGTGTTCCCACTGCAAATACACACTTTTAAAGAAAATTTGCGGTATCTAACAGTAAATCTGTACAAAGTATATAACGAAGCTTTCCCGCTCTGTATGGTGAGATCTTTTAATCTACGCTACAGATTTGAATGCTGTTTTCGTCAATATACAGAGTAATTTAAGAGGAAGGTTTAAAAGTACAATACAGGACCACGCGGGCAAAGTCGCTGGCGGTGAGCTATTGTGTATGTTAAAGCTTTAATTTGTTGCTGATTGGCATTTTGCTGATCATACCCTTATTTATGGTCGACAGAATCCCCAATTATATTCGTAACACTAATCCAATAAAAATCTTGTCCAGTAACATATCGTTATTAACATAAAACTGTCATTTACATTTCTTCTGAAAGTGTATCTCTTTTTTCTTTTATACAGTATGTTGAAAAAGCTCTGTCCTACAGGAAAGGGCTCATGTCAATCACATGGTCAGAAAATTACAAATTAAGATATTCGTGTTTTTTGCACCTAAGTTATCAAAATTTTCCTAAAATCTAGCAAATTTTTAAATGTGATAAAATCATAATATCTAGTTTTACACGTGTTCCACTACTGATCATATATGTATTTGTTTTGCCATTTAAGCATACAGATTTTATTAGGTCTTTTATATGTATTTAATTTATTTGATAATTATCATAATACTATGCTGTACTTGAGTGTGGTATTCATTAATAATTTTTAAATAGAATTAACCAACAATACGAAGCATTTGAGTTTTATGAAAAAAAAAATACCTTTTTTTCTGTTTTCTTTTCCTTCTATTAAATATTCTCGATATCATTATTTTTTTATAATTCAATATCATCTCGTACGGCTGTACGTCAAGTGATCATAATATGTCAGATTTCTCCAGTTGATATTAAGCTTTACCTTGAAAACGTTAAGGTTTTAAATAAGCGGAGAAATTTGACAATTTTGTATAATCTGCTGTGCTGTTGACTGTACGTAAACTAGTCAATATGCATTCGTTTTAGAGTATGACAAAGGGGGTTGAACTATTCCAAACTTATTAACCGCAGCTTTTCGCTTGGTTTCATCACTGTTCGGTGTATTCTGAAATATGTTTTAGCGGTTCAGTCTTTTGGCGATAAATATCTCATTGGCAATGTTTTTTTCATGAAAATGAAAACTTTAAACATTTAATGTACTTATAATCAAAATTTTCTTTAATAGTATTTGACTTGGAAAGCTTGAAGCGCGTAAAAATATATATATTTCCTCGCTTCCATTTTCATTAGCGCTACAAGGTTTTCAAGTCAATTACTGTTAAAAAAAAATCATTATAAGTATTTTAAATGTTTGGAATTTATTTATATTCATTTTAGTTCGCAAAAATAAAAGATTGTTTTATAAAATATTTTTTTATTATTTTTATTTATACGTAAAATCATCCCCTAATAGGGGAAGGGATTGCAAGATGAAAGAACTAGGCAAAATGGAAACTTCTTATAATAAACAAAATATCAATCGCGGGTGCTACTACACACAGAGAGACACGTAGCTGAATGTGATTTACGAACGCTATTTAGGTCGATTCGCACCAGCCAGTAAAATAAACATGCTATGTATTTATTTGATATGAAATGTTACGAAAACGTCAGAATTCTCTGCTTTGATTGCTTAAGATAAGTAAGAGATAAGACTATTTTTCTTTGATAGTAAATATTTACTACAAGTGTACAGATTGGGAAATTAAGCAAAGCAAAATACTTGTACTTGTGAAGTTAAGGATATGTTTATGTAATTATAATACCAGCGTTTGGGTAAGTTGGAAATTTGAAGTTGAGGGCAAACTGGAAGGAGTTAGAAATATGTAAGTTATAACAATGAACAAAAATACTACTGTAAAAACAAAGAGACATAATTCAGGGAGAGGAGAACAGAAAATAGAGATAGGTAAATAAATAATTATTTTTCGGATTCCCGTAGAAAAATACGAAAAATCCGATATAGAAGACTGCTTGCGATGTCTGTCGTATTGTAAATAAGTAAGTAAGCTAGAAAATGGTTGCATTTTACATATTAATTTCAAAACTTAAATTAATGTTATATAGGTATTCCAAATTGCCCTCATCTAGAGGGAAAAATAGAATTTCTCAGGATTTTACTTTAAGAGTTGTTACTCGTTTCTAACTCGAATATAGTTATTGTTAATAAGAAATCAGTTTTAATTATTTAATTACACAAGAGACTTAGCCAAGTATATTTCTATTTAATACATAAAGTTAGCCCTTCTATCTTGCCTCCTTTCCCCTATGTACATTTGATTTCTCTGGGCTTCTATTCCTGGTCACTGTACATGGTGAATTTAAGAAAGCTTTCGCAGCAAGTAGCGTCAATTTATTAGGAACTAATCATACTAAAGAAAGCATAGGCAACATTTGAAAATTACATATGAACAGAAGTAACTGCTATCGCACGCTTATCATCATCACGCGTCTTCTACAGTTTATTTTTATAAATTATTGAAAATATACTAGTTAGTATCTGCACTGGTATTTTATAATTTATACTCTTTTTATGAATTATTGAAAATATACTAGTTAGTATCTGCACTCGTATTTTATAATTTATACTCTTTTTATGAATTATTGAAAATATACTAGTTAGTATCTGCACTGGTATTTTATAATTTATACTCTTTATATACTCGTTGAAATTAACTGTTGTCGCTCGATGATCTGTTAAATCCTTTTCTCTCTCACTTGTTGCGCGGTTCGCGGGTACTATCCGAGTTAATTTCTTTATCATGACGATAGAAGCTTTTCCATTATATCCATGGTATTTTGAACATGGCTACAGTAACACGACTTTTAATATTCAGTGTGATAAAGTCTTTATCTGTTTGCAACTCATAATAGATTATAATCAAAGATAACAATTAATTGCAATAAATTAACAATTACAATCTATGTATTTTTTTTAATAAGTAATTATTTTCGAATTGTTTTCCTTTGTTATTCATATTATACTCTGTCGATACACTACTATTTTGAGCATCAAAAAACTTTCTTTATTCAAGTAAATTCGTAGTTAAAATAACAAATACATTTACAATAACTTCATAATATTTAAATATCTCTATATTTTATATTCAAAAACTAAAAAAGAACACAACTCATTTGCCGAATAATTGTAAAAAGTAATTCCTAAATAATTGAATAATTTCCTAAATGATTTGCCCTTAAGAATACATGCATCATTAGATTGGCAATAAAACTTTGATCTTATCTCATCAACTATCAAACAAAACGTTAAAAAACTTAGTTCTGAAAAACACTATTTTCATGAGTTTAATACTCACTGCCTGTTTATACTATGCAGACGTGTTAAGATGGGTCGTTAACAGGCTATTCTATTAGCATAATCACGTAGGCACTTGTGGAAAGTTTGAATTTTGTCTCGCCGCCACCGCATTTGAGGGTTAATGTGGATCCATGTTACATTCCACGTTACGTGATGAAATTTCGCTCATAACCGGAACATTGAATAGAAAAGGGACGGTCGACAGTAGATTAATAATTTCAGTACAAAATGTCTCAAGTTAATGATGCACCTTAAATTCTTTATGATTAATGTAAGTATAATTAATTATTCTTGATATTTTCACCGTTAACGTTATGTTAAGCTTTAAAATGTCAAGCGCATTTTGATTATTTAGATGTTAATTTACTTTGAAACTGCTATGTCAGTACATGACATCATTAATATCCTTTTGTTCCATGGAATAGAATCGTGTGTACGCTTACGAAATTTTGTATTGAGACAAAATTTAACCTTATGGTGGATCATATTCACGTTTTTCTCTCTTTTTTAATCTGCTAGTAATCTTAGCTATATTACCTTTTGGATGTAGGTGATTAAGGCACTTTATGTCTTATTTATATACTTATAACAAGATAGTTTATATCTGTGATATAAGTTTTAGTTCTTTGCGATCGAAATATGGGCAGATGACCTGAATTTGCCAATTTAAGTTGAGGACTTAGTTTTGGCCATTGGCCAAGCGTTACGAGGAATTAACTTGACATATCACAGGTACCAACAGTATTAGTTTTGCTATAATTTAACATTTTAAAGACCGTGCACGGTAAAGTTCGTTATTTATTACGCTTTTAAGTCCCAGAGTCAAAAGGGACAAGTAGCGAAAACCGGGGTCTTAATTGTTTAATTTTAAAATCTATTGCAACCACTTTCGATTTGACATTTGAAAGATGATCACGAACTCTACGCTAAGTGTTTAGCGATTGGTATGTTTTTTTAAAATATTTAATGAATGATACCAAACATTTGTTGCTAATTTTAGACGCAAACGTCTTGAAAAGCTATTGAGAAATGTTATATGAAAGAGTTGAATGAAGCTTTTATTATGTTTCTTGGTCATTCATTTTAAGATTTATTTTAAGTTACATAATTCTAAAAATCGCT